GCACACTCCATTCTATTTGAAAAAAATTCCTATGAATTTATTTACAATTTTAATTTATTTTGAAAGAGGTGTTAAAGAGTGGTAATAATTTTCAGTTTTTGCTTTTCTGGGATAGTAATTTTTTTTATTTAAATGTATCACCTATTCTCTTCGCCATTTTTCAGTAAACATTTACAGTCTTAATGTTTGTTATTTTACATATTTTAAGAATGAATTTTAATTATTTACTTGACCTAATTTCGCAATTAAATGCTTCTTCAAGCAATTCTGTTTCTGAAACCTTTAATTTGTATTAACTTGCGAATTTTCAAGTACTCTTGACACCCACGTTTAATACACAAAGGGAAACGTTTAAAATAGATCATTGTGAAGTTGTGCAAGTCGATCCTCGAGTCAAATCTCGGGAATTCACTCCCAAGTTCTGCAGATACTTTAAGAGGATTTACACTTGTTGAAAGCAAAGTTATGGATTAAATATGGCTCAAAACAATCGCTTAATAAAAAGAATATTAGAGGAATTTCTGAAAGTAGAAAAAATAAACAATACTCACCCTAATCGTTTGAGCAAACAAATTTCCAATCAAATTACGTATTCGAGCCGGTAGGGGTAAGGCAGGTAGTTGGTTTTCTTGTTGGATTGAATCGTGAATTCGCAAACGAGAAAGAAGTTGAAGAGTGGCAATTCTTCGCGAAACCCAAGCGATGTGAATTTGGGTGCCGGTGGCGAGGAATAGCCTTTTGTCGTTGTGGCCCCAAGTTAAAGCGGACACAGGGGCCTGGAATATGACACTTTCAATGCTTGTTGGGTAACGACTACATTTATTACATTTATTATACAGGACTGGTAAGATACCAGGAACATGGAGAAAATGTTAAAAAAAATTATCTATAAAAATTTCGAAGTTATGAGGGTTTACAGTTTACACTTTGACTCTATTTATTTCTGTTGGAAAAATAATTTTTCAAGTTTTTTTGCTATAGGCTATTAGAAGAGGAAACAAGGAAGCTATATCCTAAATTGTAACTCTGTTCAATGTTATTTGTGGCTTTTATTGGCAAAATTGTTGTTCCTTTACTAAATAATTGTAAAAAAACATATACAAGATCATCAGTATCTTTAAATAGATATAAAAAAATGTCAAATGTCAATTTTTTTTGACAGAATTTTTTAAACATTTATTTCATGTTCCTTTACTTGAAAATTTTCTCTGGGGCGCAAGTTCTGGCGCACCCTGTATTTATTATTATATTTATTATTACTACATTTATTACATTATTTCAAGATATACCAGCTAAACCAAGTTTTTTTTATCCAATACACGAAAAACTTTTTTTTTGTTTCCGGACAAGGCAAAGCCGAGTCCGCAAAAACGTTTTGGTACGGTTTACAAACAACATTTTTTTAATAAAGCTCCTAAAACACATTCACACCTCTTCTTATTTATGATTAATGTCATCAAAAATTTTTCGAAAATAGTGAGCTTCATATTTGAATCACCAGATTGTTTTTTTTTTGGTACGTAAAAATTGTATTTTAGGTAATAGTCCCCAAAATAACTATTTTTCGTTCTATTTTATTGAGTCCGAAATACTACAGGGAGTTCCATTTTTATTGTTACAAATTTAAACAGGTGATAGAATATTCAATTTTAAGATAAAAGTTTCCTATGAACATGTGTTGAAAAATACTATATACTCCCTGAAAGGGGTGCATGTTTTAATAGATTTTGTGCAATATTTAAGAAACCATTTTAGATGAAATTACAAAATTTGGTTCAGTTGATTTGATTGTGCATGTTTTAATAGATTTTGTGCAATATTTAAGAAACCATTTTAGATAAAATTACAAAATTTGGTTCAGTTGATTACCTTTATGTCGAAATTTTTAGTAAAGTACTATAACTATTTTAGCTGAAGTTTCTTGTCACTTTCAACAACAAAATTCTAAATTCTACAGTTTTTGCAAAAAAGAGATCTTTTGCGTTTTTTCGATAGAACTTACCCTTGTTGAGTAAAATTTTTTAATATTTTTGTTACACTTGTTTTGTTGTGTTTTACCGAAAAAAAAATGGTAAGATTTGGTCTATAATCATACTATTTTTGCTTTTTTAAACTTCTTAGCATGTTTTTGAGATAAAAACTCGACTTCATCGAGAATAGAAAAAAAAAATCACGAAATTAAATCGAAAATGAGTTCTTTAGCCAAAAATGAAATTTTTTTGCAGAATTTTAAATTTAAAAAATCGTTAAAAATTGTGTTATTTTTGGTTTTTTAAGCAGTTAAATACATTTTTGAGCTAATAAACTGAGTTTTTTCGCTAAAAAAGACCAAACTAGATCAAAATTAATAATATTTTAGCCGTTCCAATTATTTTTGAACGTTCTTAGTATAAAATTTTGCTCAAAAAGGTCCAAAAATAACCAAATTAGATCGCAAAATTTCGTTAAATTGGCCACAAAATCACTAAACTGATTCAAATTACCGTTCTATTTTGACCTGTTTCACTGGATTTAGTTTGGTGACCTAAAAACCTACTTTTTTCAAAAAATTTCAGTACAAGCAAAAAACCCCACAAAGTGCACCTTTTAAAGCGTTTAACATGTTTTTGAGTTAAAAGCTGTTTTTTTAATTGTCCAAAATTTTGGTAAAAATGACCAAATTTGGTCGAAATTAACATTATTTTCGACGTTTTCAGTTAAAAATACACTTTTCCCCTGCGACATTTTGCTCTAGCCCAAAAGTTAATTAAAATAGCTAAATTAGGGGTTGAAAACGAAATTATTTTTGCCTTTTTCAAGTAAAATTTCACCCATATGGGACAAAAAATTAGCAAATTAGGGTGTAGCTCCTTTACAAAACATTTCTTGATACATGTTTATAGGAAACTGGTGTCTTAAAATTGAATATTCTTTTACCTTTTCAAATTGGAACAATAAAAACGGAACACCCTGTATATTAAGCATCAAGAACGGTAAGAACATTTTACCGATCGAAGACAATTGTTTGAAGGAGGAGCGAATTATTGTCTGAAATCGGTAAGTCCTTAACATTCGTGATGCTCAGGCATTTTTTGTGAGATTGATTTTTGTTAGTTTTTTTTTTAAATAAAATATCTAAAAAATGTTCTAGGACGGCAAAGTATTTTGAATGCTTACAGACTTTGCCACAATAAACAAAATACTTACCGACGAGCTTGGAATAGCAACGAGTAAATACAACTTACTGTCTTGGAAACAGTCCTATTAAACAATCGAATAGAGTCTAATCACGCCAAAAAGACTTATTTTGGGGATTTTGGGGTCCGTAAAATAGTTATTTGTAGGAGCGTATACAAAAAAAAACACACTTTTTTTTCTTCTATATAAAATGACACAAAGTTTTAAAAATAATAAATATCATAGTAACAATAAAAAATTCAGTTGGGTGGCAAATAATAATTTTTTGATAAAATCTTCCATCATTTTTATTCAAAATTTGATGAGTTATTGCTCATAATAGTCTTCTGAATCATGATTGTGATTACATATTGATTTATTTAATGTTCTATTTTTTCATTCAAGCCTGGAACTCCTTGCTTGAGTATTGTTTCCATTTTATACGTAAAAAATGTTTTTGGAGTGTTTTCATCCACTAATTTGCATTTTAATAATGTAAACTTTTATTTGTTTTTCAATTCAAATTTAATTAATGAGTAATAAATTGTAAATAAACGACACGTTTCATCGAATACTTGACTAGATATTTTGATGTAATACATCTATACCGGGTGTGGCATCCGTTACACCCAGAAAAAAATCCCCACTTGTAATTAAATAAAATTGTTGAAATCGTTGACAAAACTAATCGTAAAAGCAAGCATTAATTTAAAAAATAGAAAAAATGTTGTTCTATCTAAACAATTCTTTTTAATTTTAGTTTAATTATTGTAAAAGTTTGGGCGAGTCTTTTTTTTGTAATGGTGTAACATTTTAAAATAAATTTTGTACAGACATGTAGATTATTAAAATACCACTCCGCTACATTCAGGTTTGTTGATAAACAATCTAAATCACAAAAAACTCAAAAAACAGATGATAAATAGATAAAATAATAAACAGACTTTGATAAATGTCAGTATTTTTAAAGTTTGTTCAAAATTGCAAAGTGATCACGCGAAAATTTGTTAATATTACGAAGCTAGACGGAATTTGAGATTGATTGTTTTCTTCGATTTCACAAAGGAAATTAAACCAGAGGAATCTGTTTAAAACTTTACAACGTTGTTTCAGTGACTCTTCTCTATCAAAGTAAACCGTTTAAAAATAAACAACTTATTTTTTGCCAAATTTAATATCCTACTGTATTGTCAAAAACAAAAAAATTATGAATGAAAACACTAATTGTTAATAAAGAAGTAATTAAAAAAGAAAAAACAAAATTAAATTATATTTTATTAGTTATTATTACATTTTTTATGTATACAGGGTACCTCAGAGAAAAATACCAAGTAAGACAAGAAACCAAAAACATGAAAAAAAAAGTTTAAAAACCCTATCTGTAATTTTTTTTTGACATTTGACCATTTTACGTCTAATGTACTGGGCTGTCCCAGAGCTCCGTATTTCTTCGATTACTCTGACAGTAAAAAAGATAACGAAATGCGTTTTTTTTGGACGATAGTCATTCATTTTTTCTATGGTCCAAAAATATTTTCGTCATTATAGGTAATTTCTATATAGGGTGGTGCAACAAAGTTATATTTTTTCTTATGGAACACCCGGTATATTATATTATTTCACAAAGGAACTTAAACCAGAAGAATCTGTTTGAAACTTTACGACGTTGTTTCAGTGAATCTTCTCTATCAAAGTAAACCGTTTTTAATTTTTTTTAATTAAACGGGAGAGACAAATCTTTAAAGATGAGTCGCTTTCCAACAGCACTCACTCTCAAAAAAAGTTTGTGAGTCAAGTTTTTACTATTTTAAATCATTGTTTGTCGGTAACATCAAACTGGCAATAGACTTATAATCATCTTGAGTGACATTTTGTTTTGTTTAAACAGCTAGTTTTTAAAAGTGTTTAACGATTGTGTTTCAAATAAAAATAAACAACTTATTTTTTACAAAATTTAATTTCCTACTGTATTGTCAAAAATAAAAAAATTAAGAATGAAAACACTAATTGTTAATAAAGAAGTAATTAAAAAAAATTACTAATACCGCCAAAAATAAAAGATGTTTGATATTTAAATTATATTTTATTAGTTTGTATTACATTTTTTATTCATAACTCGTACCTCAGAGAAAAATACTAAGTAAGACAAGAAACCAAAAAAAAAAGTTTAAAAAATTCTATCTGTAATTTTTTTTTGACATTTGACCTTTTTATGTCTAATATACAGGGTGTCCCAGAGCTCCGTCTTTCCTCGATTACGAAATGCGGTTTCTTTTGGACGATAGACATTCATTTTTTCTATGGTCCAAAAATATTTTCGTCATTATAGGTAATTTCTATATAGGGTGGCGCAACAAAGTTATATTTTTTCTTACGGAACACCCGGTATATTATGCGTTTATTTGAAAGAGTTTTTAATTCTAAAAATATCCATGTTAGGTTTTATGGGTCTATCATAGACCGTTTATCATTTGTGGGCAATTTTATAAAAAAAAGTACCATTTTTGAAAAATCACAACATCTTTGCTAGAAAAAAAAGTGAATAAAAACAATTGCAACCAAGTCTGGCCCTAAATTATTATGGTTGAAATTCGATCAATCTTTTACAACTAACTAGTGCAAAGTTTTGATATTCGCAAAATATCAATTACCTTGATTTTTTTCAAATAAAACACCCTGTATGTTATTATTTTATCATGTAGAGCCTTTAATAAGGTTCCCTTTTCTGGTAGCCTCTAGCAAAACATGTAAAATAATTTTTCTAACAGAAATAAATAGTCAAAATCCAAAGTTTTGAAATTTCTCTGGAGCGCGAGTTGTGAAACATGCTGTATAGAAAAAAAAAATTAAAAAAAAGCTTTTTTCAAAAAAATCAGTTTGCCCCTTAGTGCTATTAAAAAATAAGTGAAAACAATCAAAATCTTGAATTTTTAGTCGAGTCCTCTTACCTGAGTGAAGGGAACGATGGCCGAATACAACAAAACGCCTTTCTCGTTATAAAACTTCAACAAATTGGTGTACTCCACTTGAACTCCTCCACTTTTGTTATCACAAGCGACTCCTGCGACCGCCAACAATTCCCTCGAATTACTCCATTCCATGCACAATGGCCCTTGCATCCCCGTATCAATCTGAGTCGGCGACACGTCATCGAACGTCTTTAGCAGGAAAATAAACCCATTCTGCAAACACACCGCCAAGACAAACTTCCTTTCTCCTGCGTTTGCCACTCCCGGATCATTATCATCCCCTTCCTCCATCTTGAATTTTTCGCAGGACCATGCCATGGACGTGATCCCCACTTCGGAGCTGAGCTGGACTTGCGACACCATCGCTCCATGGACGTCCATCACGATGATTTGGCCGGAGGTCGTGCCGAAGTAGACCTAAACAAATGGGGGTTTTGGGGCGATTTGGTGACAGTGGACTAACCTGTTGGTCGTCTGGAGTCCAGATGCCGCATGTGATGGTGGCCTCGAGGTTCAACATGGAGGACCAGTAACGCTGGCCGGCCACGGAGCCGACGAGGACGAAGCCGTCCTGGTAGCAAATAAGGGCCATTCGGCCGTCGTGTGACCACGAGAAATGGGTCACCGGAGTGTTCCGGTCGTTTATTAGCTCGATTGACCAGCGACCCTCGTACTTGATCCAGACAAATATTATGCCCGAGCTGTCGCAGGATGCCAGCTTTTGGTAAGGCTCGTTCCATTTCACAAGAATTACCTAAGAATTAGACCAAAAGTAGAAACAGTTCCAACTTTCATTTGAAGAATAAATGAATCTAATTGGGCTATTCTCTAAAAATCTGCTACAGTTTATACAGGGTGAATATATAGTATGGAACCAAGCGGTTTTATTTTTAATCATTTGCCTCCAGAAAATAATAATTAATATGAATCAAAATAATATAAAAAATGTGGTTGTATTTTCAGAACGAAATTTTGTTTTGTTTTTGAGTTATGCGATTTTTCTTTCTCAAAATTTCAATTTTGAAAAAATTTCTTTGAAGAAATTAAATATAAAGCAGATAGTTGTAATCCTTAGAGTATAGCTTTTATGATAAAAATGATTTTATAGTGGGTTGCCATTTAAAAAAATATTTTTTTTTGTAGAACTTAAAAACAAAAGGTAATTTTGAAAAATTTTATTCTTGTTAAAACATCACATTTTTATAGTACTTTATCACTCATCAATTAGTTTTTTCAAAAAATAAATAGTTTAAGCAAAAAACGTTTGGTTCCATACTTTTTATTCACCTGGTATACTCGTAAGTTGGTATATTCCATAGGTAATAGAGCTCTGTATACAGGAGGTTCCGTCTAAACCCCACATTAAAAGTATTGGGAGTTCCAATAATCGTATTTATTTGAAAGTTGGTACATAGCCATAATGCATTAAGTCCTCCTAAATGAAAATATTTTTAAGATGGCGGCACTTCCGCTTATACCGGAAGTCGGTCTCAACTTTTTTATTTTTAATGGAAAGGTATATTTTTTACTGCGTTTTTGGATTAATCGGATCATTTGAAGGGAGTTTTCATCAGCTTTCCCTATACCCAAATTTAGCCGTTTTTGAAATATTTGGAGTTWTTCAAAAAWWWTTGGATRTYCYCCTTKCARTTTAAAAATCGGTAACTCTGCCATTTTTTAAGATTTTGAATTCGTTTTTTTGGCGTTAGAAATAGAAAGTTTAGATCTTTCTTCTGCTGTTTTCAAATTTTGAAAAAAAAAATAATAAACCCTAAAATTTTAAGGTTACTTTTGTAATAATCCAAATACCCATAAATCAAATTTTCCAAATGAAATACCCCAATTTTTATTTTACTAAATGGAAGAGAATTTAATTCTGCATCGATCTGTATTAACATTCCCTATACCTACATTTAATAATTTTTAAGTTATGGTGACTTTTTGTTAAGATTGTCGAAAATCTATTACGTTTTCGTATAGTTTGCTATGGAAATAAAAAATGTCAAAATTGTTTTTCAATAAACGTCGATAGTGACTTATTATTTGACAAATAGTGCCAAAATATGGAGAGTCAAAGCTACTCAAACTTAGATTTAATTAATTTATTTTGTATTTATGGAGAGTGTAACAAAATTATGATGTCGTTCATTAAACAAAAATAAATTTTTCTCACTTGTTAGTTTTAAATAATGATCGCATGGTAGAACCTATCAATAATAATTAAGTTTGTATAACTTTGTTTCTTCATATTTTGGCACTATTTGTCAAATAGTAATTTACTGTTGATGTTTGTTTAGAGAAAATTTTGACATTTTTGATTTCCATAGCAAACTATGTGAACGGGTGTGGCTAGTAATAAATTTTCTGTAGTCTTAACAAAAAGTCCATAACTGAAAATTATTAAATTTGGGTATAGAGAATGTTAATACAGATCAATGCACAATTAAATTCTCTTCCATTTAGTAAAATAAAAATTGGGGTGTTTCATTTGAAAAAATTGAGTTATGAGTACTTGAATTGTCACAAAAGTAAAATTTTGGGATATGCTATTTTTTTTTCAAAATTTGAAAACACCAGAAAAAGGATCTCAGCTTTCTCTTTCAAACGCCAAGAAAAAACGAATTCAAAATCTTAAAAAATGGCAGAGTTACCGATTTTTAAAGTGGAAGGTGCAAATTCAAAAATTTTTGAAAAATTTTCAAAAACGGCTAAATTTAAGTATAGGGAAAGCTGATGAAAACTTCATTGAAATAACCCGATTAATCCAAAAACGCAATAAAAAATATACCTTTCCATTTAAAATAAGAAAGTTGAGACCGACTTCCGGTATAAGCGGAAGTGCCGCCATCTTGAAAATATTTTCATTTAGGAGGACTTAATGGTTTATGGCTATGAACCAATTTTCAAATAAATACGATTATTCCAACTCCCAATACTTCTAATGTGGTTTAGATGGAACACCCTGTAGAAATTTTTTAAAGTCCTTATACATAGAATCGTATCAAAATTGGTATTCTCTAAGCGTCTATGTAAACATTCGAGTTATAGCGCTGTAATTAGCATAAAGTGTGTTTTTTATTAAGCGGAAATGTCAAACAGTCAGACAAATTTATTCATGGTAATTTTTGGAAGTTGGCAGTTCCAATTTTTAATTTAATTAATAAAAAATGGCATTAAACTTCAGCAAAAAAATCGTCTAAGAAAATTTAGAAATGAAAACAACACAAAAACGGAGACAAATTGGGTATCGCGAACAGTTTTTAGAAACTTGAAGACGAAAAGTGTGCTAGCAGAAGTCAGAAAAAGACCACCGCCAAAATTTAGACACAATTTGTAATGTAGGTTTGCTAAACATTCTCTAATTTTTAGTAAGAAATTAATGAGAATACAACAAACATCAAAGAGAAAAAACGCAATTAAATTAGTTTTTGAAAAAGTAACAATTTTGAAACTAAAGCCAAAGGAGAATTTAGAAAATGCATCAACTTTGAGCTCATTTCAATAAATTACACAAAATTTATTGCCGATTTTCATAAAACCTGCTTGTATCTTTTGCAAAAAAACTTTTTTCTAAATAGACACTCTTTTTTATTAAAGTTTTTGTAAGAAGCTCATTTTTGTCCACAACATTACCTTCTTTCTTCTTCATTTAACAATAAATATAATGCAATTAATGCAATATTGTTACGATCCATTACTGAACTATGTACCTATTATTATTAACTTTACACGATACCAATAATTATAAGGGCCAGTTTCATAATCCAATTTAAAAGAGCTTTAAATTAAATGTTGTTTAGAATTTGCTGATTACTACGGACTAATTGACAAAAATTTCACATTCTAAACCAACATTAAGTTTAAAGTCCCTTTAATTCGATTATGAAACTGGCCCTAAGTCTTTACGGTCAGCAATTTTCTCGCCATAACTTTATAGAGACTCTAAGCTTATAGAATTTTAGGTATAGAGAAATATTTCCTTATAGAATTTGATTTTTACTTATAGTCGATAGCTTAAAGAGTTATAGCGCTGTAACAAGTATTTTTTTACAGAATAGCACCATAAATCAGATCACTTTTTATATTTTATAAAATTTCAGAAAATCTTAATATAAATGGTTTTATTAGGCACAATTTTTTTAACAACTTTGGATTAAATAGACGTAAAATATTGTGAAAATTGATAAATCCAAATATTTTGAATCACACTGTATAAAAATTATAGATTAAAAACTCATTTAATAGATACAAAATGCAAACTGCAAAGATTAAAAAAACGATGAAGAGAAAAAAACAAAGAACAGGAAACAACGAAGTATGACTGGTGTTACAAATTTTCTTTTTAACAGTTTCTCAAAACTGATTCAAACAAATCGGAAAAAAATGGGAGATAAAGACCAGAAATACGAGTAAACAGAAAACATCGATTTAAAAAAATATGAATTTGTATAAAAAGGCACTTAATCGATTTTTTTATCATGGATAGGTATCAAGTGTAAAAAAAAACAACTTGAATGTTGGTGTGTACAATACGTTTTACATTTCTTTGAACATTGTTTTAAATTAGAAAAAAAATTGAAATATGTGTTACCTATGCATACTTCACGAACTATTTCATTCGCTTCATTTACAGACGATTTCCATTAATGACACGAGTCCGAAAAACTATTTTTTTACGTATTTTGGACTACTTTACGGACTATTTCGATTATTTTACAATTGATTTTAGAACAAAAAACATTCTTAACGTCTAAATTTCATCTGCATGAAAATATGTGTCTCAAAATTTGAAAAAAATGTAAATATCTGTTACAACGTCTTACAAACTGGTTCTTATGTAAATAAGTAAGCTGATGTCAAATCAGTGTATTAAAATATCAAAACAGAAGTTTTTACTTTATTTGTTGATAATAAGTATTTGATACGTATAATTAAAAATCAAAATATTGAAACTCATAAAAAACAAAAATTTATTTGACCAAAAAAAGATTATTAAATTATTTAAAAGTACCCACTTAAAATTCTCAAAAGAAAATTTATGAAAGCTATAAAACTCAAAATTGAAATATGTATGTTAGTGCCAAAATTTTCATGACAAAATTTTGTTTTATCTAAAGATAATTTTAGCTAAATCTAATCAAATGCAAAAAAATATCACAATTTTTTCACAGTAATCAATTTGTCTCAATGCTGTTTCTACAAGCTAATAATGATTTTATCCGTCCAAATTTTATGTTAGTGCTTTAAATTGTTCGTTAACTTTTTTTATATTGACTAAGATATCCGATGCTTATCAAAATTTTAAAATAACTTTTAAACAGATTACAAAAATGTTTTACATTTTTTTTCTAAAAACACACTTTTAAAAAATAACTGATTCTGAAATTTATTGCAACTCTACTAAAACTTCGACAATTTATTACAACTTATCAGCAAAAGATAAATCTTGCATCTCGTCTTTAATCAGACAAAATATATTTCGATTTTATCACTCATTAGCAGACTTGACATTTACTCTATTTCAAAATGTGAGTATTTTAATTTTTACATAACACAGTTAAAAAATTTAGTTTGAATATTTATTTCAAATAGATATATTGAAGATATATTTTCTAAAAATTGAAAAATCAACACGAAATTAAAGAAAAATACTAGCAAAATCATAATTTAAATATACAGTGTGTCGCCGGATAGGTGAAACGACTCTTGTAAAAGAGAAAAAAAAAAGTTCTCGATTTAAGTTTTTATTTAATT